TATTATTAGAATTACAAACATAACGTATTCTTTTATTCATTTTGAATAATTTTGTAGAATACTTTTTTAATCATGCTGACGAAATGCAAATTGATAATAATTTTTCAAAAATTTGTTCATTTATACAAACATTTTTTTATCATATTTAGAGTTTAAAACGAAATATTTAATAAAGAAATACTAATAAAATATTGACAAATTAATAATATAGTTAAAATAAAATTTAAACATGTCCGTTCAGCCAAAAATTTTAAATAATCTTTTGATTATTTATACGTCTTAGTTATGAGTACTGATATTATAATTTTTATACAGAAATTGATGATCTTATCACATTTGGATACTCCTTTATTATTGAGTTAATCTAACTTCTAAATTCCCAATTGTACTACCCGAATTAAATTTACATTCCTAATATCTAAGCACAATTCGAACAATTTAGATAATGAACCCTTAACTAGATTAATATCTTTGCCAATGTCGATCCTCCTATATTAGTTTTTAGTTTGTTTTATTTAATTAATTTTTAATTTTTTTGACTCTTATTTTTTTCAATTTTCACTTATATTAATGGATAATGGGTTCAACCCTTGATTAGTTATATACAAATATATATATTATCAATCATAGGTATTTTTAGTAAACCATTAAAAAACGCTGATAAATATACGATAGCGCTCTCTAGTATATACAACCTCAACTATTAGTTTACTCAAAAAGATAAAGATAGCATTACAGTTGAATATTTTCTTTAATAATTATGTTGTCTTTAGTTTTATTTACTCATTCTATTACTATAATTTTATTGTATCATTTGTACTACATTGAATAATTTTTTTAATTACTTTGTTACCGCTTGGGTGAATATTTTCATGTCTAAGACTGCATCAAGAACATTTTATTTATATATGCATAAAAAAGAATACAATGGATCCTACATATAATTTATAACATTAAAAGTAATTAAATTTTTATATTTATGTTAAATAATTATATATTTACTTTTAAAAATATAGAAATAGAAAACCAAATTACAAACCATCATAAAAATGTCAAAATCTTTATTATAAAGATTTTTTCGACAAATTTATAAAAAATTCACATTTATTTAATGGAGAATCGTATTGGTATATTATTTATTGTTCTACAACTTTATGTTCACTGTACATATGATGGTTTGGTAAATATAAAATTTAAGATCTTTGTTTCTTTTGTACTTTAAAAATCAGACACAGGCATTTTAATCTGAAAAGAATATGCGCTCCCATAAAAAATGAAATCAAGGACAATTGCCTTCAATGTCAACCAGTTAAACATTTTATTTAGTTAAATTAAAAAATGTACAGAGAACCTAAAATTTTTTTTATTGTCGTATATTTTATAACCTATTGTTACTACAACCAATTATTTTAGGTGTGAGAATGACATGATGAAGAGTGTGGCATAGTAATGATAATGATTAAATAACATATCCCAAACCTCACCTTCACTCTAAATTTCAAAATCGTAATAACTTCCAAAATAATAAGTTAAAATTTGTTATCGACTAATAATTTTTTAAATTATATCTTTAATAATTTGTAAGCTAGTTAAATATGTATATTGAAATTAAAAAAACAAAGTGAATATCCTTATAAGGGGAAAATTACAAAAAAATATAATTTGTTAATAATTCGAGAAATATATGAAACTAAAAAATAGCAATATCATTTCTAACATAAATATTATTTTAAGAGAAATCATGTAGGTAAAATTAAAAGAATCAGTCTGTATACAGAACATCTTAGAAATTTACCAATTATTTATACTTTTTATTTTTAACAAAGTTTCTTGAAAATCCCTGTTTTGTTTTTAAGATAATTTTTGAAAATGGCATTACTAATTTTTGAATTCTGTCTTAAGACGCTGGGAGTACGAAAACCATTTATTTCAGACTAACATTTAGTTTTCGTTTTAGCAAGTTTTAATTGCTTGACGATATATTTTTTTACTATTAAAATCAGAAGATTAAAATTAATTCACTTGTGAATTTTATATAATACCATATTATATTATATTATATACATTTAAATTTAAATTATGTACTATAAAAAACAGAAACCTATATAAACCTAAACATAAACAATAAAAATGATACCCTAAAAATATAAATTTGTTTCGGAAAATCATAAAAAATATTACGTAGCATATTTTAGAATAATTCTAAATTGATGTACTTTTTTCCTTATTTTGAGTTTTATTTCATTACCTTAATGGAGTAAATATAAGGGAGTTAAAAACATTTTTACTATCAACTATTGTAACCCAATCAAATTTTAACACTTATAACACATATTTAATTTGAATTCAATTAGAATATTATATAAATGATTTGTTTATCATAAACCATTCGAATGCATAAAAAACTAATTATTTAGTTTAAATAATCAGTACATTTTATTCTAATGCAAGATATGCGAATAAATATTTTTTTCTAAAACCTATAATTACTGTAGATTCATCACCTAAAGGATTATAAATATTATTAAAAGAGAGCGGAGCAAGATGATCTTTTCGTATTTTATAAAATAAAATAATATTTTGCTAATTCTTTATAGATATATTTTTAAATATGTTAACCAAATAATATAAATTTATTGAAAATAATTGAAATATAAAAATATGTTTGTTTTGATCGCACTTACATATTTGTTGCAAGAATTTAATTTCTAAATACAAAATAATTTCATAATAAATAATATTCTGAATTATTTTCCTTATAGATGTATCCTAAAGTTGTTAACTAATTAGTAATAATATCAAAAATTATCGGTGGTGAAAAACATATAATTACTGATTTGAAATTAGCAAGAAAAATTGAATAATAAAAGTATCTTTTTTACTCTGATGAAAATTGATTGCAGTCCATTTATTCATAATTAACAACAAATTATTATCAAACAAGTTCTCTGTCAAGTCCTTCAATTTTTATATACGTTTGCCATAAAAATAATCACTACTTTATAATTTTGTATAAATTCTTCGAAAAAATTACCATACTAAATTATCAAATATCAATCTCATACTATATTTAAATGTTATAATAAATATTTATTCATATATTATACTTATAAATCAACTACTATTTAGGAATAATGATAGAAATAGGAGTTTATTTTGCTTTTAGAATAATCAAAAAATTTCTTAAAATTAAAGACTATCTACTGATTTGTATCGAACCGTTTTTTATGATAGTGATTTTAGTCACTGTCAGATATCATCTATACTGGACCCAACTGTGAATATATTCTATATTAATACTATAAATACATTCTAAATTTCTTAAAAGGTTACTTTCTCCTGTTTGAGTAATACATCTTGGCGGGATACATTGTTCTAAGATCCTTATTAATTTTAATACAGCGAATATTTTTAATTACTATTTAAAAATTTTTTACAGTTTTGGACTACGATAAAAGATTATTTTTATTATTTCACTCTATATAATATATAATAGAACAAATTGATTTAGTCGTACTATATACTTACAATTTCGCTATTTAATTATTTATGTATATAATACATATAATTTTTAAAAATTAATGTATTCAATTTCCTATTTTGGAGTTAATAAATAAAATGCATATTCTTTCAGAATCCCGCAAAAAACAAAGAATGTATGATATTCATATTCATTGAAATTTTGGAATACGTTCTGAAGAGTGTGTTTTATTAATAAATGATCTTACAAAATATTTTTGTCGATAAAAATATTATATCACTAATTATTTAGAAAAGGATAAGTTTAGATAGAAATTATTTTATAACTTTATGAAAAAGTGTAATAATAATCAATATTCTATTATGAAATTTTTTAAATAAAAAGGAAGTATTAATATTTATTTAATAAATATACACACATAAATATGTGTGTAATAACCATTTCTGTGGTTATAATTGTTGACTATTTACTTATTAAGGTCACAAATTGGTCATTACTAAGTTTACCACATAATTATTAGGGGTTTTTTTTAAAGATAACCAATTTAAAATTTAATTTACATTAACTTATTATCAAAAATTGAATGCATTTATATTAATCATTCCTTAAAATAAAGCCTGTGCATATATAAATGCATTCCATGAAAAATGAATTAAATTTAAAGAATGCATTCATTTCTAACACTGATATTATTAATAAATAAAATTAGTTTAGTAAAAATGTCATTTTAAAAGCTGATAATTTGTAGTGATCGATACAAAAAATACACGATCAAACCTATACTTTAATTTTATGATGATTTTAATGAAATCATTTATGACCCGACTATAAAATTAATATTTATATCGAAGTAACTAACATGAGATAAGGCATGCAAACGTGATTAATTATAGCAATAGTATGTAATAAAAAGTATATAATATAGTTAAATTTAGTTAGTTTATTTTGATAAATATTTTTATAAAAAGTAGGTAATAAAATAGTGAATTAGTTCAGTTTTATACACTCGTATATTTATAAAGAACAATTTACTACAATGTGAAATTTAAGGACTAATGTCTCGTAATTAAAATTATTATGTTCACTTTTCATAACTAGACTAGTTAATATGAATGATATTATTATTAACGTAAAAATGTGAGTTAATTTTATTTTTTTATTGTAATATTAAAGATAACTTATTGTTTAGCATATAAAAACTTAGGTATTTTTTATACACTTTCATAGTTGCCCTTCGTTAAGCTGTAAAAGTAATTCGCAGTGACATTGAGGATAGTAGGATATATTTTTTTTTGAAAACAATAGTATTTAATTAATTAAACTCTAAATATTTTTGCGTAAAATTGTTAAAATTTCACTATGTATTATTTGTAAAAACAAAACACAATATTTTTATTTTATGATGAATAATACAGTAAACAAAAAACGATGGTCAATAATTTTTTCATGGTGATTTCCCGTGAAAACTATATTTTTATATTAATTATCTTATATAGTTTAAAAAAAAAAGTTTCCATCATAAATATTTCACTGCCATTTTTATTTTACAACGAACAATGGTAGACTTTAGCAGTTGATATAAAATCATTTTGAATGCGTTATGCATTTTTAAAACAATTGTAAATAACAAATTATTCCCAATTAATATTAGTAAACAAATTAAAACTATAATAATAAATTCGTTTGGTTCGGGGCTTTTGATGACGTAGATCTGGTCGTAAGGAATATGCACCACACAAACCTCTCTAGAACCGAATTTGTCGCCGTTTTTCAAACAAATTCGGATCTACAGGGTAGATGTAGAGCATCACTACACCGACGATGCGTTTTGCCGTTATGCAAACGTACAGCAATACCACTACTTCGGTAGTGGCCGGAAACCGCCATTTGCGAGTACGCAACGACACTGAGACGGACTTTTATGTCGGCTATCTGAAACAACGTAAGATCACCACTTACACATATGAACACACAAATAGTATACATTTAGTTATTATATGCACGCGATTTCGTGTGCGTAAAAGCTACAGCAGTTGTCGAGCAGTACAAGTCAAAGTTAGTTACGGTAGTCGTGCGATCGATTCCACCGGCCGCAGGAAGTAGATTTGAAAATAAAGAAAGAAAAGAACGTGCCGTTCGTTTTAACAACACGTTGTGTTATTATTTTTTTTTTTAATGTTCGTGTACTTTGCGCGCACCGGAGAATAACGAACGACATACGCGCGTATTAGTCATCAATTCACAGCCCCTCCGACGACAATAACAACAGCGGTGGCCACTATCGGTGTCAACGAACTCTCTCCCTCGACGGCCACCCTTTTTCCATTCAGTTTGCCGCCGAACGAAAGAGAATGGGGTCCGCAAATTTTTTTCCCCTAACGACGATAAACCAACGCCGCCGCCGCGAATAAAACCCATTTAAACGTATTTATGCGTGTTGTCGTACGGACTTGCATGCGGCACAACGTCGACCGTGACAGCGTCACCACACCCTTGCGTTTTGCCACCCCCGCGTGCCATCAAGCCGCACTCGCCCCACCGACCGTGCGGCGGTGGTTCGATACGGCAGATCAATACTTAATGGGCGCGGCGGCGTATGGGTAACTTCAGCGACGGGGGCGGCAGTGGCGGGCACGAGCGCTGAATGCAAATTACGCGTGTACCGGGTGTTTTACCGGTTTTGCCGCCCTTATTACCAACTGCCATGCATCGCTGTCATAGATCAGTGAACGCACGCGATTTATACATAACATTATACGATCTTATAGTTTAACGAATTGCACTATATTTCGGATTAGATTTTATACTTTTATTGTTGGCCGTTAGAAAAATAACAATAATCAAATGAAAAATTCAATTTTAAAACGCGCATCGATTGTATTTATTTTTTATCTAATATCCCGTGTTGTATATTTAATGGAAATTTCGAAAGAATAAAAAAAAAAAAAAAAATGTTTATCTTTTTCATACAATATTGTATGTTACGAAAGTTAAAACAAAACGTACTCAATAACGCGGGAAAATGATAACGTTAGTAAATCGGATTTCAAGTCATCGGATTAAAATAAAATGTCAAATTTATCAGAGTGTTTTTTATTATAATAATTTATCGAATGGTTGTTTAAAAGAAATATCTAATTTGAAAAAGTTTTCATGCTTACCATGGAGTGGACTCTGAGACAGGCGATCGAGAGACGATGACAACGAACGACCGTGTTGTTCGCCAGAAGTCTGCCGTTGGAATTGTACCACGGGCGTCGGTTTTTAGGGGTTACTCGCGCGCGCCAAGCCCGGGCTGTATCGATCCGGGTGCGACGCGCCCTTTCGGATGGGGGGATTGCAAACCGAGGCGCCGCCTGGTGGCTATTGGCAGGGGTCATACGCAGACTCCGCGTTCCGAAAACCGTACTGGCCGCATCTCACCCCGTCTACGGTCCCTCGCGCCGCCGGTCATCTGCGGCAGTCTTCAGTGATTCTATCCGCTCGCGTATTTATGCAAACCTCGTAAATTACTCGCCCTTTCTCGTCTGGTCGCGGGTGTGCGTACCCCAACCACTACTTTGCGATCTCGCCAAAGGGCGTGCGCACTTACACACACCTCGGCGCATCGCCAGTAAAACCCCGTCGCGGTCGCCCATTCACAGGATAAAACCTTAAAGCGGAATGAACGGAAGCGGTTCCCGAGGGGTAATGAAATTTGGTGTCAGTGCAGACGGTAGAAGTGTAATTCGGATAGATAAGTGGAAAGGGACGATAGAGAGAGGCAGAGTTATATTCTCTTCTCCTACCTCTCTCGTGGCTTTAAAAAGCCTATCGCTATATCCTTTTTCAAAGATGTAAATATTTTTTTCATTGTATATAGAGGTTTTGTGTTTTTTTTTAGGAACACTAATTGCTCTAGTGTAATCAAGAACTTGGAAGCCACCTTTAATATCATTTCTATCGCATAGTAGGGATTTGTGTTGAAAATACACTTAAAAAAAAATGTTCGAATTTTCACATATATGTATTGAAAGTTTTTAACCCTTACGGTGTAAGGGGAAATTTGATTAAATAGTGATAAAAATGATATAATTGTGTACGAATTTTCGATAGTTTTTGCCAAAGTTATATTAACGTGTATATTAAAAATAAACTGACGTATGGGGATTTTTACGGTGTATTGACTACTGAAATTAAAGTTTATAAATTCAATTTTTTTCATATTATTTCGTTGTTTTTTACATTTTTTATGTTAATACTTGTTAAAATATGACGTGAATATCAAAAGTAGATATATACTACTATTATAAGTATGGTATTATAGCACGTGATTGAAAGTATAAAATGATTAACAGATTAGTAAAAGTTTTAAATGGATAGAAGTAGTTTAAAAATTTTACAATATTCTAAAAGGTTAATGATGAAATAAGATGAAGCCTTTTTTTGAATAGACTTTCTCTCATAACGAAGCCAAGGCTTATAAATTTGACTTTTGTAAAAAATTAAATGATATTACGCTTTTTTTTTTGTTATAGTGAATTTTGTTTGGTTAAATAATATCTTTATTATATGATGAATCAAATTAAATTTGTCAGTTGAAAAATATATTAAGTCCCAAAGCTACGATACTTGCCATTTAATATGCAGAAAATGAAGTAAAATGTTAGATAAAACATTTTTATCTATAGCGCTAAATTGTTTACTCAAAATATTTTTTAAATATATTTTATTTGGAAAAACATTGAATTTTAATTTCCGCGCAAAGAAATAATTGAGTTTCATTCTTATACAGATTAAGTCGATTAAAAAATATATCTAATAAAAATAAAATCGATTTTATGTTTATGAGGCGAGTACATTGTGTGCATTTTTACATTATTTTCTACATTGTGTATAAAATAATATTTTTTTTATAAAAGATAGAAATATTTTGAAAATATTATAAGGTTATTTTATTTTTAAGTTGGGGTTAATGCACGCGCCTAGATTAATGTATTACAAGCCACTCTTTGATTTCTTGTTGCGTGATCACTAATTTATTCGGTTTTATTTCAGTTTACTTCCTTTGTTGTGTGTTTTTTAATATGTTATTGGGACTAGTAACTTTTACGTAACTAAAAAATTTAATTTGATAATATAACTACGTTATCCTCTCTTAAAAAGTAAAGGTCTGTTTGTAGTTCTTTTAAATTATCTTAATATTTTATACACCTATTGCTGCATTAACTTACAATATTAACTTTTAATTTGTTTCCATTAATAAGAACAAGTAGGGATAGTTTTGTTGAAAAGTCTGTTGTAAGATGTGAGCTTAATTCTTTCATATTCAATTAAATTTCTGTTTAAAAGAAATAGAATTTTGAAGAGTTATGAAGCTTTTGCATAAAATTTCAATATACGTCATTTTATCAAATCAAAATAGGTTAAAACTCAATAGGTTAATCTAAAGTTTTGAATTATGTTGATAGAAGTTGCATTAATTTGAGCCGTGCTGCACTTTTATTAGTTCGAAATAGTGGTTGCTATCAACAAAAAAACGTGAAATGGGTATTTACATAACTACGTGTCGAGGGTCTAAAGGGTTAAATACTTTTTATTTAGAATAAACTGTTAAGTAACGTGCAATCATAATTTTATCACGCACTAAAATCTGACGTTTTTTGGAATATTTTGAGAAATAATGCAGTATCTGTCGGTAAAATTAGAAAAATTACAGAGAAAAGTCATGTTTAATTATTAGTTAGGGGTAATAAATACTAAATATTTGAGTGATATATAGAAAAAGAAAGATACTTGTTATTAGTCATGTACTTTTCGTTTGGATAGTGCAAAATATGAGGAGTGATATCATCAGACGTGATGAATGGGCTAGTCTGTTTTATTTTAATTTAGTTGTAATACAGTTTACAGTCACACAAAGTATGTGTGTCTTTTATATGTTTTCCAGCAAGATAGGTGAAAATATTTTGAGATAATACAAATTTGTGACACTTCCCGGCAGTCAACAAATAATTCAACATCTCACTTTAACATCTCATCATTTATGATGTTATAATACGCAATTTGTGTAGTAGTTAATGTTTTAATACTACAAAAGCAATACAAGATAGCTCAACTAAACATGTAAATGTATATGAATTATTATGAACGTTCAGAATTAGAAAATCGTAAAGTTTACATACTTAAATGTGCTGAAATCTGTTCTTTGTTTATCATAATATGTTCAGTATTGGTCTTTAAGGGATTAAATACTGTATTTTTGATGTAAAAATTTAATGTACATTGCAAAAACATTACAAGATTATGCTTAATGGTTGAAAATCTAGTTTTATGAACGACATCACGTTTTCATATCATGTACTAAAACACGTAAAAATAAGAGCTATTAAATAAAAAAGAAGTCAGGTATATTTTATAAAAAAAAAAAGGCAGAATTCGGTCGTTTTATAATATTAAACTTTCCTAAAGGAATGGAAAAGTTTAAATTATATACGTTATATTATAAAGCTATGCCTGAACAAAACCATTTTCATATTATTAGTTTTGTTTTTAGTGTTGCCATTAAACGTAAACCCAAAAACTTTGAAAATGAAAGTTCAGCGACTTTCATGACTTATAAGGTTTACAAATTTCTTTCTTAAAACGCTCTACAGTTTAACAATACTGTTGATGTGGTAAATGAAAAATGTCTAATATTTAACTATGAAATTTAATGAACTTTCAGCATATTCCATAAAAATATTTTTTATATATTTAATAAATAAATGTAAAATATTTTGGATCTTTAAAACAAATGTTATCATCTATGATTAAATTTATTTCAAATTAAAATAAGTGCTATAGAAAAGTACAATTAACCATTATTGATGTAATAAAAACAATATAATATATATATATATAAAACATAATATCACAACATTTTTACTCAACTGAAACGCTGAAAAAAAATTCATTAAAATAAATATCTAAACATATTTTTACATCAATAATATGTTACATTTCACAAATTTGTTAACCGTTATATTTCCATAATATAAGAAGCAATATTACATTTGGATTTGGTAATTAATCAATATCTGTATTTGATTAATGTTTGTATTTGGAAAAATTAAATATTAAATTATTATTTTACAATAATTTAAAACTTCATTGATTATTTTCTTTTAAGTAAATATTTGAACGCTAATAATAGGTTAATCAATTTACAATTTGAAATAATTATAGAATTTGGCTAATAGTCTGATAAATTGTTGAATCTAATTCTCGTGTACTAAGAAATAAATGGCTAAAAACCATAACATTTTTAATAGTATAAATGTACACAATCTGATTTACTTAGAATATTACTCTCAATTATTTCTTTAAATAATGATTCTTTTCATAAAAATGAACAGATTAAAATTTCGTTTATTTTTTTTTTTTGTGAACCAAAGATATATATGAAGGTTTATGTAAACAAATCATTTTTAAGGGTAGTTTAAGGAGTAACTTTTGAAAGTTAAATAGGAACCTGTAATTATTTTCAAACCATTAATGAATGAATTATGGACTAAATAAAATTTGACTAGTCTATAACCGATTTTGTAATATTACTCATTAAGATATTTGTTTAGAGACGTTCTATTATTACCAGAACACAGAGATAAGAATTCTTACACGTTGCGCAATCTACTCGCTCATATCTAAAAATTATATCAACTCAAAAAGGAATATCACAAATTATCGACTAGTCAACGTTTTTAGATCATTGTTCTATAAACGATATAAAAATAATAATAGTTTCCCATTTTGCTTTCAAAAGTTACTTTTAAAACCGACCCTTAGAAAAAGTAATTTTTTAGAATTAACTTCTTATTTATCATGGTTCACAAAAACAAACAGATTTCTTTTAATACAGTTTTGTAAAAGTATCATTATTTAACGACAAAATTGAGAGTAGTATTTTTAATAAATCACACCGTATACTAATAATATGTATATTTTTTAACTGAAACTTTATTCGTGAGAATATACTAGTCAACTAATAAGTTCATCTTTTAAACAAAATATTCCTTCGTACTAGACTGCATTTTTTAGTTTCTTTTCTGGAAATACAAGTTATTTCGGGCGTGGCAACGGCAGCAGCGGCGACGGCGTCGGTAGCAGCTGTGGCCTATGACGTATCCGTGTTTACGTTGTGAAATGTTTTGACAGTTACGCATACACATGTCACACCAAAATGCAGACTAAGTCGGCTATGGAGCTGTCAGGTAGGTCAAGTGTAAAATCGATCGTACAAAATACTATCAATTAGATGTCCGTAAATAAAATTTAAATAATTCGCCAAGAAAAAGAAGAATTGTCGTGATGTATAAAACAATTATTACTATTGGTAATTTGT